TTTTAGAATTAAATGCAAACAGCATTGGTTGATGGAGGTAATAGAAAGCAAGCATCTGGCTTAAGTCTTGAAATATCAGCGGAATTTAAATTTGAAACAAAGTGACTAACACATTGACGTAACATGTATGATGTTGAACGTATATGAATGATAATAATTTTTTGAAATTGAAGACATGATGGTTGTGGGAAGTGATAAAAAGTAAGAAAAAAAGAAAAAAAAATAAGAGACGGCTGGCTAACAAAGTCTTAAAGTATCGGTGAAATTTAAATTTTAATGAAGCAACTAATGTTGTCATGTATATGTTTATGATGTTAAGAGCACATAAATAATGGTTTTTAAAATTAAATGTAGATACCGTGGTTGATGGAGGCGATACGTTGTTAAACTCGACTTTCACTCAGCTACAGAGTATAAATAATGTATATAATGGCAAACGTGTTTTACTTGCGACTGTGGATGATCAACCGTGCTCAAAATACTGGGTTCTAGTGAAAAATTTCCCCTATTAATTTTGTAATTGACTACTGCGGATTCTTTACTGCACAATATTTAGAAATTCAATAATACACAAATAACATACAAAAGTGTACGAAATATATTTGATGAATCTCCAATTGTGATAACAAAAATATGATTTTTTTTTTTGAAGATGTAAGAGTTTCGAAATTATTTTACAGAACGTCAATTACTCTACGAGGTCTAGCGTGAATTTTGCAATTTATCCACAACGAGAAAAATTGTACGAAGAAATTTCGAAGCATAGGTTTCACCACACACGCGCGCGCGCGGGAGATACATTTCCAAAGTAAAGAAGAACGAGACGCGGTTGAAAAATTCAGCGGCGAGCTGAAAGAAGGGAAGACAGATGATAGAGGTCTCCGGGCCGCGAGTTTGAAAAGCAGGTGCCTGGCGAGTAACAAACAGCTTTTCGCGTTAAGCTTTATGCGTCGCGTAAAGTTCGCTGAGCGATTCATACAGCGAAATGGACTCCTTCGCGGAGGGAAAACAATTTCCGGCAAAACGGGGAATTAAGTACTTATCTTTACGAGCGGTCGTGCAGTTTTCTGAAAGAAGATACGCCCGCGCCGGGAAAAAAATTTATCGCGATCTCGATACTGCATTTCGAGTGCATAACGCGCTTGCAGTTTGTTGGCCAAAGTTATTCTCGACGCGAAGAAAAGCAACCCGCCCGATAAGGTCGCGAAGAGAAGCTTCGAAGAGGCGTCGTCGATGTCACTCTAAATGTCGGACAGGCGGACATTTAGATTTTACGGCGAGGCAAGAAAGCAACGAAAAGCAACCGAAATCTTCTGATAACTTTATTACACGTGTACGTCGATTTGAATATTTCACTGTCGGCAGTCTATCAAACTTCATTCCTGGTGTATTAATACAATACCTAGGGTATCGAGACATTGTATGTAATTTTTATTTGTCAACGTTCAGTTCAATGAAATCAAATTTAAAGTCTGACTTGAAATTTCATCGAGGTTTGCAATTTACAATTTTTCTTTTAAATCGAGACCTTAACTTGTACCACGAGTAGTACGACTCGATATTATAGATCCAAGGGGTTAACCGCCCTATAATACAACGCAATATGTAACTTGGATGTTCAAATTTTTAAAATTACATTGCAGTAATATCTCATTGAATGCTATGTTAAGATGATGAAAATATCTGTCTTAAGTTAATGATAAATATACAAGATAATGGCGCGAAATATAAACAAATAAACGAATAAAATAGCTTGGAATAATTGATTCTGGAATCCCCATATTGCATTAAATTATTTAATTTTATTTAAACATTTGTTCAAGTTCATATATGTATAAACAGAGTTGTACTGAACAATTTCCAGATTTTAAGTGGAATTTCATTTGGAATATAAATAGTTAAAATTGACTGATAATCTTTTTAGAATCGAGAAGATTCTATTGCGATAGAAAATACAGCTTAAATGAGTCCTTTTAATCTAACTCTCTTTAACGTATAATTAATAAATATTGATAAAATGATTAGCTAATATTATAATAGTTGAAGCTTATAAAAGTTGAAAGATAGCTGAAGATTTTTAGAACGACTGAAATGTGTATTTCTAACCGCACCGAAATGTTTTATACAGATTTTATAAATGTTATTGATTGAAAAGCGAATATGGAGCATGAAAACGCAAAAAGTTAATGGTAAAAGAACTGTCAGCCGTAACTGTCAATCACTGTTGTCGAAAGATAACAAAAATATCAAGCTTTTAGTGGAATTGCACCGAGTGTCTAATTATTTATTCACGGTAATGTATATTTATTTTTCAAGTTGTCAAAAAAAGAAAGAAACAAGGATTTTACTTGATCCATTAGTATTAATTAAAATAAGCTCTTTTATATTCGTTTATTGAGAAACCTAAATAAATTGGGAAAAAAATATCACGGCACGATTGTTTAAAAATAATTAATTATTAAAATAATAAATTATCAGATAACATGGAAATTGTAAAAAGTTATTATATGATAACAAAAGTGAATAGTACATTGCAGCGTACTTCCAATTCGTTGTTAATTTAACTTTGTTATTGCTGCATGCATTTCCACCAATATTATTCATGATTTTATACTTTTCTTTTCTTTTTATCACTATACTTTTTATAAAGGTAACACTTCGGGTGGCATGATTCTACATTAATGCATTGCTCAGTCACCGACAATAAGTGGCATGTCAGCGAACGTAATGGCTATTATATCCTATTAATAGGCCATTACATAGGCACACTTGGATTTCATGAATGTGATTAATGGAGAGAAATGAACGCTAAGCTAACCGAACATCGATCCTTGCATATAATGTTCATGTTGTCGCGTTAACAAATGCCCGTTATTTATTGTGCTCCGTAAATAGTTAACTGTCATATTTAGGTCATTTGCATTAGTACGTCCTACAAATTTCATCTCATATTTCATTGCGACCACTCATAGAATGGCATATAACGACAAAGGACTGTTTAAAAATAATTTGCTGCTAATCAAAAACGGAGACGTATATGTTTCTTTCTCAGTTTTACATCCCCGTTCAATTCCCTTTCACTCTATATTCGTTCTATATTCGAATTAACATTCAAATACTTCTCGTACCTTTTTCAATTGTTTGTCAAAATAGAATGATCGCGATTTTTGACATTTTTTACTTGTAAGTACGCGTAAAACTCGTTGGTGCCGATTTCAATTTTATTTTATCGTCGCAGATCCGAAAGAATAGCATAGCAACTAAGGAGGTGCCAATTCTTCGGTTAAGTGCGTTGCGAGTCTCAAAAATAGCCACTCGGTCCTTCTGATGTATGACAGTTGTATAACTGTATATAGAAAAGAAGGTATAACCACGCAAAAGAAGAAGAAGAAAAAAAACAAGTTGCAACAATATTAGGAATTTTTTTAATCAAATTATTTCAGGTTTATTTCTATCAATACATTATTGGCCAAATATTGATTAAGCATTTGAAAGAATCACTCGCATCATTTTATTTTACTTTTTTTAATTTATATACATATTTGACGAAAATTTATTTTATTACTCATTCAAATTAACTTATGTTCGATTAATTGGAAGGACCATTATATTTCTATCAATAGCTACTGCATTTTTAGGTTAGGTTTTACCACGAGGTCAAATGTACAATAATTAACTATTATGTTTCTATCAATAGCTACTGCATTTTTAGGTTATGTCTCGCCATGAGGTGAAATATATAATAATTTTGAGGAGCAGTAGTAATTACAAATTTATTATCAGCATTTCCCTATATTGGACAAAATAATCGTTGAATGGATTCGAGGAGGATTTTCAATTAATAATTCTACACTAAATCGATTAATAAGCTGAAAGTCATATCCTACATAGGTTATGTTCATATGAACTTCTTCTTTCTACTTCGGTGCGCAGAGTCAAGGCTCCGCCGTGCTTTCCGCATACTCTGAATCACCCTGTGTACGTGCTTTTGATAGGGACGATTCGTTTGAGACGCGGGAGAAAAGCAGCGTTTTATACGATGCATAAACCCGAAACCGTTTGAGAATAAAAGCCGGAGACGTACGCCGGGCTAAAGCGGATCCCCGATACGATGCGTTGCACAAAGCCAGTTGGCCGGAATAAACGGCAGTGATCATAGGTTTGGCTGTTGGCCAGAGGCACCTATCCGCGTAAGCATTCGTCTTTTCATCGGGAACGCACCTCGATCGAACCGTACAGATTGATGCGCGGCTTAAAACACGTCGGCGACTGATCCGGATGATTTGAATGCCCCTAATGTGCCGCGTGATTGAAATTTTCACGACCCAAATCGCTGCCAAACAACGCTGCCAGTCGTGTTATCGTCGATTGATACGCGTTGGGCAAAAATAAAGCGACGCTCTGTATGGCTCGGTGAAACCTGCTCCGCGCGTTTCGTCAATCGAATTAATTAATGGAATGCCTGTAATGCGTTTCAAAGAGTGGAAATACACCGTGAACCTTGTTTACTCGAACTGAAAATTTTTGTGTCAATACTACTGTTCCGTTGACCTATTAATTCTCGATGTGATTCTTTTTTTTTTTTTTTTTTATTGATTCGAAATTCATTGAGGTGACCTGTATAGGTTCTCTCTTTCTTTATATATAATATAAATGTCATCATGTTTAGTATCTGGAATTTCGATATGGGAATAATAAGTGATTTGAGGGTTAAATGAACTCTCCATTTATTTCCATTTAAATTCTTGTTACAACAATATGATCACTAGTAGAGTAGAGAAGCGAGTCAGTAGACTTCCATTATAATCTATTTTCGTAGAAATAATTGAGGAGGACTTGGGACAAGTGCTCGCCTCATCCATCACTTCCAGATATTTTCTACAGTTTCATTGTACGCGTTCTATCGTTTGTACCATAAATCTTTGTAAACCTCTAAACTTTCGTAAATATATCTCTCTACCTCTAAATAAATGAATAAAAATCTACGAACTAGTAGGACATAGTACAACGCAGTAATTAACGTAGTAATAGCATAGAAATAAGATGATAAATCACGAGATTCATGTGACAGTGTTTAGCATTCTGTAGAGTAGAGAGTTGTGCCAGAAATTGTTAAAATTAATCACACAAAAGCTACGAGAATTCTCTCTCTCTCTCTCTCTCTCTCTCTTCCTGTTACTCGGAAATAATTATTAATCCATTAAAATTTTGGTCAATGCTGAATTAAATAATACTTTTGCCGGTTGAACTGAACAAAATCATTAGCAGAGATCCAGGAAACTCGAATTATATATCAACTATTCCAAAATAATATATAGTCCAAGTATATATAATTGCTTAACAATTTCATAGAATTCCACTCTATTCGTAGTAATATTGTTTACAATACCGAGATGCTTTATACTTTATGTCGTTCCGATTGACAAGAATAGAAAGAAAGAAAGAGAGAGAGAGAGAGAGAGAGTGAGAGAGAGAAATAAGAAAAAGAGCGAGGGATTATCTTGATAAACGGATTGCCCTCGAGTAAATACAGTGGCCTCGTCGAAAACGTTTTCAGGCACCCTATAAATTCTAATTTAAAATCAGTGTCGCAACAAAAGGTCCTCGGAAAGCGGCACACCATTTCTCAGAGTGTTCGTCGCATAGCTCATTCGTTTTATCGTCTCGAACGGCACGAGCGTCACTCTGACACCGTGATAAACAGCCGCTTCTGTCGTAAGTCAAGTCACCGTAAAATCTTCGGGCATTGCTTGTCCCGGTGTTTACTAAGTCAGAATGACTTGACAAGGTGAATATAGTTAGCGCTAGATGGTTCAGGCCGGCTGCTGCATCGCTTATTCGGCATCCGGCGACATTTATCATCGCTCTGCCAGCGACGGCGATTCAAAAGATTGAATAATTACGACATTTATACATACGATTTAACAAATATCACCGGCGTTAAAACGATTCTTGGCTCGACGAGTAAAGTACGGCGTGAAACGTGCGCTTCGTGCCGTATAACGAAGTAAATTGTTATTTTCTGGTCTGCTCATACTGATCATACTCGTTTTATTGTCTCTACTTTGAAAATATAAATTTTTTTTTTTTCTTCACATCGCGCAGCCAGGTGAATATAAGTGAAGATGCTTCCGTTTTCGAAAATTGGTATAAATTGCTCGCAATATGTGAAAACATGCTGTTACATAATACTAAAGATATCTGAAAGTAAAATGAAATGTGAATTTCGAAAGTACTAAGCTTTCAAGCTTTGGAGTGAATCCAAGTTTATTATCGTACAATTTCTTTTTGAAATTGTAACAATTTCACTATCTAGTACATAGCATAATATATAAAATATATAAATTATACGTTATATGTAGAATAGTTCACGAATTCGTATATGTCGTGTGTATTTTGATCAAATATTTCGAGATATTATCAATGCTGTCGTGATTATGTTTCTAAAATTGGAAACTAGTCGGAAAATCTTTTATCGGAATTTTATTAATGCAGTGAATTTTATCCTATTCAATCCTCTAAAATGTTCTTCGTCTTATTGCTTTATATTTCATCGATAAAACCTTACAAAAATATCACTTCTTTATAACAATTATCAGTTTTCAAATTTTCTATTAGAGTATAAGTACCTGCAATTAAGTCTTTTTCTCTTGTGAGCACGTGATATTCTAATCATACAGGGTCATCTCTGCACTTGTGTTGAATGTCTCGTAACTCCGTATACATTTTTAAACTCGACCAACGTAACCATGATACGTAAATAAATTTAATAAATCAGTAATGAAATCGTCATGAATGAAATTTCGAAAAATGTTCTATGTAACGTACTACGACAAGTGTTTATACTTGATACTTTCACGAGTGTGGTAAACTTGATACCAATTGGAGCATGATATAATAATCAATGCACGGTTCACAGTACGTGCTTATTCTCTCCTCATCGTAGCAAACGTTTCATCGTTGGATTTGCAACGGCAGAATGTTGCTCAATCGACGCATAAATCGGCTCGTCGTTCCATAAATAAAACGGAACTGCAACGTTTGAAAATCGCAATCGAGACTTCGTCTGCACTTCGTCCAATCAAGAATTTCGCGTGTCAAAGATCGTGTAGAGTTTCCCTCAAATCAAATGACAACACATACAAGCTTGCCTGGCTCACGAACGCGTGGAAAACACAGAAATATGCTACATTCGAAACTTGTCTTACTGTATGGTCCATCTTATACTATACTGCCGTGTTAATCTGATCAAAAAAAGTGTGACAGAAGTTTGACAAACAAAAGTGATTAGAAAAAAAGGACTTCAACATCGATTCAACAGTCGTACTTAAGATGTTTTTTAGTATATATAGTATATATATAGTATATATAGTAGATAATATATATAGCG